AAAGTTTCGCTACCGTGAAACGACACTCAAAAAGTGGATCAAACATTGTTGAGAAAAACTGGTGTGGATCTCGTGGATCAAAAGTGGAGCTTCGATTCATGGAAAGAAACTAGAATATCTTTTGGGAAAAACAGGAGGAAGTAACTTGGCCGCAGCCAGGGAAGAGGCAGTGCATCAAAGCCACACAAGGAGCCGAGCTTGCTCTTTGGTGTAGCTATCATGCAATGTCTCTCCCTAGCTACTGCTAAATCCTTGCACAAATCACGCGAGAAAACTGAAACTATCCGCTAGAAGAAAGAAACTCGCAGATGATGAAGCGGGAGATCATTCATCAAAACTCTTCCTTTTCTTCTCCTTGATCATCAAAGTTACTAGAAAAAAGAGCCGAGAGCTCGCAATTTATATAGAGTCGAGAGATTTGTAGTACCTCGTGTAGTACACCGCGAATGGAAACGGATTTAAAAACATCACAACGTTTTGGATCCCATTGTCGCATCTCGCACTCCAAATTGTCGTGAGAGACACAAGATCGTTCCGCCTCACATCACGCAATTGCTTGCTCTTTCTTTCAAGACAGAGGATTTGCCCTCCCTCTCTTTCTCGCTGAGATATCCCAGTGTACGACATTGTACTATCTCCATGTGTAGTACACTCCAATTCTTTTACGTCGTAGAAGTCGTACGTAGCGTACTTAAAGTACTCGTATACCATACACAATGTGGTCATGGAACGAGCTTTGTAAACCTGTAATTTCTTGACGTTGGTAAAATACATGAAAGTTCCAAAGCTTGAGGTCTAAATGAATTATTAAAATATTATTAAAATTTTATTAAAATTCAATATATTTATTAAAAACTAAAATTATCAAACATATATAAAACCATTTATTTCATTAATTAGTATAACTCTCATTTAACAAAATGTTTTTGAATCCCATACAGATTGAGTTAATGGCTTAGTGCTTAATGTTGTTTGATATGAAAAATACAAAACTAAATTACAATTATTCTGCATTATTAACACTGCATTTTCATGGCAGTTTTGATAGTTACAATAAGTATCTGAATGCCAAAGAACACTTTTATTGGAAGAATATAGAACTAAATTCCCATCTTCTTGTAGTCTTAAAACACATTTTAGGCCATTATTTGATGTCTCAATTGACCATAAAATTTTATTTCCTGCATATAATATTAAATTACAATGAATATCTAAATATAAGTGTGCCTTTTGATTTAAGGAAACTAAAATTTGTGTTGGTAATAAATATTGATGGGGCATATTAATATAACCACTTATTAAGATATATGTAAAAATATCACATCTTATTATTTCTTCTGATGTCATAAGCTTTTGGTTTCTTGAGCCATATGTATTTGTATTTATTTTCTCATCTAAATTTAAAGGGTTATAATTTCTAATGAAATAGTAGATAACAAATTGGTCTGTTTGTATAATAATATATGAAGCACAAGAAGTTAATATTTTATGAACAGATTGTTTTACAATATCAAACAATGTGTTTCTTACAGCCTGTCCTACATTTGTATGGCCATCACCATCTACATGACAAAGATGTCCAATTGTATCTAATGCAAAAATACCAAATCCAATATCATTATTTAAATTTGATAATGTTATATCTCCATAAAAACTTTGACCTAAAGGAAATATATTGTCTGGTATCTCTTTAATTTTTTTTGAAATCATAATTAAAATAAGTTTTGTTGCTTCAATAGTTATAGCATTAAGTGGACCAATTTCATAATCAATATCTTCAGAGAAAATACTTAAATTTTTTAAAAATAACAATATAGCAATTAACATTTTTTCAATCATTACTAAATTACTTAAATTGAAGTTTTATTATTTATCTTTATATAGATAAAATATAATAATATTATATACATAATTTAAATATATATTATTTAATATATAAACAGTTTAAAACTAAATAATTTTTTATATTTATTTTATATTTTTAAAAACAAATTAGGATAAAAATGAATAAAAATATAAAATATATATTCTGCTTATTCTTTTTTTTTAAGATATAATATTCTTAATAATTTTAAATGAATAAGCTATATTATTCTTATTGTTCTTATCAAACTATTCTTTATAAGGAATATTTACTATTTTATTGATTATTTATTAAAATATAATTTTCCTTTAAATTTAATCTTGAATTTATTTAAAAATTTATAAATAAAATAAAATAAAATTATAATAAGTTTAATTTTTTATATCAAATTCACTCTTTAAACCACTATAAATAACTAGATATATGTATTGATACATATTTAAATATATGTAGAAACAATAAAAATACCAACAAGAATTTCTTTTACAATTACTAGATATTTTAAAATATTATTTAAGATATTTAATTTATTTATTATACCTTTATTAAATTTTTTTAGAATAAATTTATTATATCAACATAATAAGTGTACATTGTATTAGCCAAAAACCCCTAGCTTATATATAAGAGAATAGTCTAAATTGTAACAAATCTTCTGCCTATCAAAATCCCTTTATACTAAGGATGTAAGATAATTAAAGTTTTTTGTTTATAGGTTGGGATTTAGAGGAAAATGTAGACATTGATGGATTTGTATATATTCTTAACTTTGGACTTCTTGAGAAGTCATCCATCCTAGCACTATTCAAACTCATAAAACTTTTAACTAATTAGAAAAGATGCATTTTTATTTATGGCTCATTTCCTTTTATATTTGAACCTTTATGGATTGTCTTTGGAATTATTCTCTTTAGTTGCTTACAATCCATCACACTTCTCTACAAGTCTATATCCTCGTGAATGAAAATTAAGAGGTGTAATTCTCTCAAGAGTCATACTTTTGACACTCTACCCCTCAAGTCGAGCCTAGCTGGAGCAAATTAAATTGCTATATGCTTTTGATTGATATGGGTTCAAGTTTATTGTCTATAGCTTAACTTGTTGCCATATATTGTTATTTATATTTGTGTTATATGTGGCATAATTAGTCTTCATTCTTTATGGTAACAACTGTAAATATACATGTGTGCAGGATGAGGTAGACTTAGTTATATATAGGGTGATCTTGAGCTTTAATTCCAATCGTTGCAGATGGTACTGAATCAAATTTTTGACTTCATTTTTAGTATGGATTGGTTAAACTTAATTATGTTAAGTGTGACTTTAAGGTTTTTCCCTTTTGTCTCATACTCTCTTATATCTCTTATATTCCTATCACTTATATTTTTATTTCGTCCTTTTGTTTTAACCTCTACTTCCATCACTTTTATCTCCCTATTACTTTCTACTATACATTATTTTATTCCCTTTTTAAATCATTTTATGCTATAATAGTTGATTGCTGTGAAATATAAATCCCTAAGTCCCAAAGTGGAGCCCAACATATGCCATGTGGTAATGGTTAAAGTAGAAGCCCAATGAGCATAATATATTTGGACTAAAGGTTTTGACTCAGAAAGTTGAAAGCAAAAGTAGAATTCCTAAAGAAGTGCTCAAGGAATAAGCATGAAGCAATTGAGAAGTGAGTCTTGAAAAGGGGACAAAAGAATTACCAACATATGGCAAGTGTTGTGACATGCAAAAGTGTCAAGACTAGACCTAACATAAAGCCTAATATGGAGTTTGATAAAGAGTCCAAGAAAGAGTCTAAATCTAAGATGCAGTCTGAAATGGAGTCTGAAATGGAATTTGAGATAGAGTTTGAGACTGGATCCAAGACTGAGACCGACCCAAACCAGAGGTTGAGACCAAAACTAAAACTGAAAGCAAGACTAAATTCAAAACCATGTCTGAGTTCAAGTTTAAGTCTGAGTCCAAGTTTAAGGATGAAAGCCCAACATGATCATCTCCCAAACCCTAAAGGGTTTGGTGAGTCCCTATGAGATAGTAAAAGGAGGACTTTAGTAAAACTAATTTAGCCAAAAAATGCCAATTGACCAAGGAAAGTTACACCCACATGGTGGGTGATAATATAATTACTAAGGAGTCCAAAGCTAGGAAGTCCTAGAGATTAGTAAGGTTTAGTGGATGGGCTTTTGGACCTTGCATTGATGGTGGTGTTAACTATGGATAAAGAGGGATTTAGTGGGAAAAAAAAGAGGGATATTGGGGAATAGTGCTTTTGATGTCTTAGGGCATTAAAAAAATGCTAAGGTGTGTTCATGGAATAATCACTCATGGATAGATGGTCTAATCTCAAAGAGATAAGACTGGTCTTGGTTTACTAATGAGGTAAAGGCAAATGGATATAGTTTTAGTGCAACAAGTTGAGATGTTAGTAGTATCTTTAGGTGTCAGAAGTGAAATTGGACACATGGAGCATTATGACTCAATGTGAAGCTGATGTGGTTTTGAGATCACACTTGGGGGTAAGCAAGTATCCTAAGGCGGATGAGGATCTATAGAGGTTATGAGTGGGACTCCTTTAAAGACATGGTTAAATGACTAAAGTAGAATGGAAAATTTAGATGTTTATAATTGGCTCAAGCAAGAGTATGTTAATCTCTTCGATTTTAACTTGCCATTTAGGGCTAAAATTGCAATGCATCATTATATTCTAACTAAGGATGCTCATTTGATTCTTGTTTAGCATTGGTCACCAAAGGAAATCAAGATCTTACAAGTAAATATATAAAATATATTGGAAAAAGGTGTTATCCGAAAATCTTAGAGTTCTTGGGTGTGTAAATGTCATCTTATAATAAAACCTAATAAGAGTATTTATTTCTGCATCAATTATCATCTATTAAATGATGTGATGATCTTGAATGTGTACCTTCTTCCTCACATAGCTAATCTTTTGGTGAAGTTAATAGTTCATTAAATTGAATCTTGCTTTTGGGTATTATCAAGTGTTAATGGGTAAGAAAGATGTTCCCAAGACCACTTTTCAAACACTATTTGGTTTATATAAGTTCTTAGTAATATCATTTAGATTTTTCAGTGAATGATGGACAAGATTCTTTACAATATGCCAAAGGTGACTATCGACTTCATCAATGATATTTTGATCCACTCATAAAGGATATAAGAGGAATATATCTATGATGTCTTTAATGTGTTGGATTGGTTAGTTTGAAGCTAAAGCAGTCAAAGTGCGTCTTTAAGTTCAAAGATACAATTTACTTTAGGTACCAGATTCTTATAAAGGTTTGCAAGTTGATCTTAACAAACCTATAGTTATTTTGAAATCCATTACTTTGAAGTGTGTGAATGATACACAACACTTCTTTGGCAAGGTGTAATATTTTGATCATTTTTTTAGTCATATTTTTTATTATATTACACCATTATGAGTGTTACTAAAGTTGTCCACATTATCTTTCATCTATTTTAAGGACTATAGGTGGGCATTTGTAGATTTCAAAAAGGTGTTAAAGATTTGAATAGTACCATCTCAATAAGTATAATAATTATATATTACAACTAATGGAGGTAAACTACTCCTAAATAGAAAAGGAGTGCCTAGTAGCAGTTTAGGGTTTTAAGAAGTTTCATATGTAATTATATGCTTCTTAGATGTTACTAAAGTGTGATCATATTTCATTATTGAAGTAGAAGA